TTCCAAACTTGCTGGCATATTGAGTGCAGCACTTTAACACCATCATCTTTTAGTATATTCTCAAGGTTTTTCAGGGTCCTTCAAAGGAGCTGATTCATGAGAAAACAGACCAGAGGGCTCTGGATGAACAAGCCACTTTCCCAAATTTATTCCGCCTTTTTACGTCAACTGCAAACCAGGGAGCGGAATAGTTCTGTTTCTGAATGGTTATTATTCTTATTACTTGATATATTTTATTCTGTTTGCAGTACAGAAGCCTCCCGAAGTGCCTCACCCCCAAAAAGTAATAACCCAAGCACATAATAAAAGCAGTGAATTAAAAACAATATAAAACCAGGCAGCAATAAAAAGGAAGGGGAAGAAAAACAAAAACAGAAATAAAAACCAATCAGCCAGTGTCACAGAGCGCGTTGTCTTTTCACTGTCTTTTAACTTTGCTTTTTCTCTACTTCTTTCAGTCTTATCTATTGCATTTTGGAATGGTTTTTGATGATTGCAAACTGCGAACTGATTCAGGATCTTCTGTAAGGAGAAACAGGGCAAGAAAGACTTCTGTAACAATCTATTGTGGTAGATTTCTCTGGGGTGCACAAGGTGTGGATTTCCTTCCTTGTGCGCTGACGCCAAGCAAGCATTGTGTATCTCCAGATGCAACTCTCAGCTGGCATTCACACCCCTTTTTCACCTGGTGTCCAAATGGGCTGCTCTTCTCATTTTGCACACCACACAGAGTCACAAAAAACTAGCTGAGAAGGCTAAAACTTCTGTTTTGATGATTGTTTTCCCCTCTTGTGTCTGGTTTTTATATAATGCTTTTAAATCCTGAGTCGCTCTGAGGTTAGGTGGCTTATAAATCAAATAAATAAGCGTTAACCCAGCTTGCAAGGCCTTTACTTGACCCGGTTAAGCATATTCTACAGATGCCGCCTTAGAATTCCTCAGCAGGATAGCCTTTGGGATTTGAAAAGACACCCGGTTGGGGAAGGGCAGAATAGCCCACATGCCTTATTCCCCAGGGAATTCCATCAATGCTCCCCCAAACTTTCACATCCTTTCCCCCTTCCCGGCTGCCCAAAAGAAAAACTAAGATTTCAGACAGAAAGTACATGAACTTGAAAGCTGATAAGCCGAGCATCTGGCGAGACCAAGGAAGCAAGAACCGCCCAGACTTCAGGAGGGTCTCCTTCACGTTAGTCCTGGGGCAGGCGGAGGATCTTGGAGCCTGCAAGAGGAATTTCCCACCCCCCTATTGGGGTCTCCTAAAGCCCCGTCCTTCGGGCGCTT